AACCATGGGTGATTGTTACCTGCCTTAGCACTCTACAAGTCCATTATATTAAGGTATTTCCTAGTAACAGCCCAATGAAAACAGGTTTTCATCCAAATGATCCAACATAAGGACAAAAGTGCAGTGCCCAAGTAAGTCCAACAGTAGTGAAAGAAAGAGCATACAACCACAACAGCTTCCTAGTGGTTATGTATTTTGACAGGATATCCCAGGCCTTGAGCAGATTTTTTTTGTTTTCTAAGAAGAAACCTATCTCATATAGATATATAGATATATAGATATAAACATTAAAATGGATGTGTCCTACCTGTGACCAGCTGCACATCAGAAAGTTTCACCTTAGGAGGAGGTCGTGTTGACTGACACGCTTTGCCTTCCTGAGAACGTCCTTTAACAAACAAGATGAACAGCTCTGTGTTTATTCACATGAACATGTAGTTATGTATAGCTACAAACTATTTCAGTAAGCTACAACATTATTTTGTCCTCAAAATTCTTCTCATTTATGACAAGGAAACTCAAGATGTTCTATATGACATATATTGTCACAACCATAACTAACTTTCACTAAAGTTAAAATACACCTTGCAGTTGCTATTAAAAAAAAAAGGAAGGTAAATTTTTTTAATAAAAATGATTAGGTTTATCTATTTATTTTATCCTTTTTGCTTATCTAACCTACAGAGCCATGATAGAAGTGATAAGTATATGTACTTACCACCTGGTAAAGTACATATAGTTAGCACATCTTTACTCCATCAGTGATCCACACTACAGAGGAGCTCAGGGTCTAAAAGCAATGCTTTCCCTCAACCCTTTCTTCAGGATGCAATTCCTTTGCACCAGGCACGTTCAGGCACAGTGCAAAGCAGTGCAGAGTTATTACAAAAGATGATCTTGCTCTTTCAATAAAGACCACTTATCATCAAACCAGAAAGTTATTAACATGGAACATATTCTTCCAGTGAAAATATTTTGAAGACAGCACAAAGCCAGAAAAAGTTTAGAACAAGGCTTAAAAAAACCCAAACCATGATGCAGATGGCCACTGTGCATGGCTAGAGTCAACTATCCCCAGTTTAGCTGCTCTGATCTCTTTCTGCATTTATACATGTGAGCAGCTCTGGCAATGGAGTTGGTTGCTCCAGAGCTGGTGTGCAGTAATGCTATGTGGGGATTCAGACAGCTTTAGCAGTAGCCATTTTACATCACAGAGCTGTTGTTTGGTATTTTTAACCTGAAACAGAAACACAATTATCCAGAACACCGGAGATTAAGACTAAATTGTATAAATAGTTGAAATCCCTAAAAATTAGGTAAGGTGAGAAGTGTACAGATGAATACACTGCGTTATAAAAATACAAGTGTTATTAAACATAAGGTATAGTGAAGAGAGAATTACCATAGATCTGCTTTAGGATGGACTGCTTGCTGGTTTTTATGGCTGAGCTGGTTTTGTTTACGGGTTTCAGATTTTTACATGAAGGAACTGATTTCAGAGGGCTATGGTTCAGCTGTTTCTTCCAAGCAACCTGAATGAAGAAGGCAGCTGTCTCTTGTCTCCATTTGTCTTCATCTTCCTTGCACTGCCGCTTAGCACTAAGAAGCTGAAACAACTCCTGTCTTAGCTGGTAACTAGAGAGCAGAAAAGAGAAGAGCACTTGTTTTAGGTGACCTGTTTTAACTTCCGTGCTTTCCACGCATCAGTTCACATGGTGGATTACATGAGTAACTGGGAAAACAGAACTCCCACTGATGTGCTAAGTCATTTGGACGAGAAATGTTTGCTCAGAAGAAAAAGCTGAGTTCAATTCTGGATGCATCCATTATTTCACACAGTTAATAAAGATCTGGCACTACAGGTATCAAAAGTTACAGTGCTTCAACATCAGCTTATCAACTGCAGCAACAAACAAAACCTATAAATACTTACGATAATGGTATAATCAATACTATTGCCTTATTTTCACTATATTCACAGCTTAACACCTAATTTTCTCACGTGCCTTTACCACTTCACGTTCCAGTCAATCAGTGCAAGAGACAAACCAAATCTACCTCCTGTGGGTTCAATTGCACATTTCCTCTACAGAAAACTGAGCTGCTTTCCATCCCTCCTCTGATGATGCTCCCCTCACCTCCTTTTCAGCAGTCTGTGTTTTTCCCTTCCCTTCAAAGGCTCCCTGTCTTCTGACCCACCCTCACCCCGGCTGCTTTGATCTGACACACAGTCACAGCCCTCTGCCAAGTGGCAGCAGCAGATTATCTGTCCTTCTTCACTCTGGTGGCTAATGGCACCAGCAACAAGGAGTTGTGTTGGGTTTTTTTAGCTCGAATCGGACATAAGTATTCGATCGGATATTGGCATTTCACACTCGCAAGTCAATTAACTGGCCTAGCAATTAACTCTGAATCTTCCCAGTACAAACCTGTCACAGAAGAACACTGAGTAACCCTTGTAAAATATTAATTATAAGTGTTTGGTAACAAGCCAAGACACATTGATTATCATCCCCTCTGGCATTCAAAAAGACTTCTATACTGTATGGCCCAGTAAAGGGAATGAGGAAGGAGAGAAAGAGGTGATTTTGTTCTATTGTTCCAACTGCAACAAGATCTAAATTAAAACAAAAGACAACACAACCAAATACAAATTGTTTAAATATATGTTATAAGTCAATGAACTGTGTAATTCAAACAAAACAGCAGCCTCATACAAACAGTGAGTACATAAAAGCACAATAGAATGCCAAAGGGGGATGATATGCTCAGTTACAGCCCAAATAATTTCAAACTTTCAATAAGCTTAGTAAATTACCTTTGTGAAATTTGCTGGGTGAGACAAACATATTTAATCTTAATTTAGTGAAGCTTCAGAATTCAGGCATGTACACAGCTCATTAAGGTGCATAACAAATGTGGGCAGCAATTGCATCTTACCCGTGCCTGCAAGTTGCTGAAGCACTGTATGAATTCAGAACAGGAGCATTATCGAGAGGCAGAAGGAAAAAAGTGATCCAGTTTTGTTAAATGTCACTTTTCAACAGGGTAAGAGAGGAAGGGAAAGTGAAGGGGGAGCACAACTACAGCGACTTGCTAACATAACTTGAGCTAGGGATGGGTTAATTGAATACCACCGCAGGAAAAACAATTGGGGAACTGTTTTATACTTGAGCAGAAAAGAATACTAAGCTACTCTCTTTGAATTCAGTAATTACTGCCAGAAGCCTTTGCTGATAGGTGAAATGACCCACTGACAGGCACTCACTCCACCTTTGCACCCAGTTGTGATTTCATGTTTGTAGAGAACTTCTGGTAGTTTTTAGCAACAAGAAAATAACTGTGAGGCTCTGACACTGAGATATAGGCAGTTATCTTTAGAGCAAGTGCACATTTTTTTAATTCAGCTCTCTCGTAACAGATCATTCTGATCCTAGTGAGAAAAAAAGAATGGGATGAAATTTGATACAATATGAATCTGATGTGGTGCCTTGAAAAAATACCCAGTGCTTACTCAACAAAACTACTGCACATAAAAGAAACGTGGAACGTACGTCCAGAATGACAAAGCTGGCAAATGATATTCACACTCACTGTCACAGAAGCTCTCATCTTAAAATCTACTGCTGGTCAAAGTGTGCAAATAGCAAGGATATACTGAAAGAATGCAGCTTGACTCGTGGGAGAGCAACAGCGACAGCAACCAACTTAGTTCCAGCTTCTATCAACTCCCTGTGGACCCTGGAGAATGGTACAGGCCTCAGTGCCCCCATGAGAGAGCAAGCTAGACACAGAATCTGTAAGCCTCAACGAGCAGGATAAGCAATTAACCTTTGGTAAGCCACACACCTTACAATACACTTTTGAGGACTACATTTATAAAGTTTGTGGATGTGGGAATTGCAACATTCTCCTGAGAATACCAAGTTTAATATACTTAAGTAGACCAGTACCACTGTGGTGTTGTTTTTACTTTCAAACAGTAAATCAGGACTGTAAAATTTGCAGAGTGAGACAAGTGTATTTAACTCTAACCTAGAGAAGTTCCAGAACTCGAGCATGTACTTCTACATGTTTCTGGTGTAGAGTTACACACTAACATTGCATAATTCTATTGCTGTCTACAAGTACATCCTATTTACCAGTGCAAGTCTGGACCAAGAGACAAACACAAGACTGAGTGGGACTGACAGCCACGTGGAAGGTACCTACTTAATAACTGTAATTTGGTGTTCAATGGGTGCTAAATTGGGTATTTTGGAATAACCAACATGTTAGTAGTCAGCTGCCTAGTGAGAGCTAGCTAGAAATGCTAACCATGACTTCTTGGCAGGCAGGTGCCACCATCTGACTTGGGATCCACATCCTAAAATACTCACACTGCCTCTTTTTTTGAGCTATATATGAACTCTACTTCAAAGGAAGAGGCAGAGCTCTCTTCTTTTTAAAAATAAACATTATTGCTGTGGTAATGCAAATCAGAAGCAGGAAATCTGGTCCAAAGTCACAGCTGTCTTACCCATGTGAGTTTCACAACACTTGACTATAAAGCTCAAGTTGAGCTTCAAGTGTAAGCAGACAAGCCAGCACAAGTGGTGGGCAGTGGGCTTGGGAGAGAGAGTGCAGGAGGGAAGCTCAGCTCTTCCTAACAGTGGACTGCCCTCACCTCAGCATCAATGCTCAACAAGCTGTTTGGTGTTCTGCATCAAAACATCCACTGAAATAAATGCTTTATGATATTGCTGCAAACTTTATGAACTCCATCAAAGCTCTAGCAACAGCAAACTGTCCACAGACCTAACAAAATGACAGTGGAAGAACTGCCAAACTAACCTCTCCATTTTTCAGTATTAATTCTTTAAATAACAAATGCAATTTAAACAACCTCTAATTTCCACAATTTCCAAAGTGCAAAGTATTAGTAAGGACATGCACTTCTTTGGAGAGATAGCACACCATCACTGTTCCAGCAGGTGGATAGTTTAGAAAGACCTATCCAACTTCAGATAGTCAAACGTGTAAATGGAATGCAGATTGCTCCAAGGCTTTAGATCCCAGTTCTTGTGAGGAAATTTGCACAAGGACTCACTACACATCTTTTTGCACATAAGACAAGAATTCAGGATCTACATTAGAAAAGAAGGCCCAGGAGGACATTGCCAGCACAGAGCTGCTTATACAGTGTTTGGAAGAGAGAGCTGACAGCAGAAGTGGTGGAACCCTGGGAGAACAAGTCACTGTTTTGCATTGCTGTTCATTGTGGGTTTGAGGAATATGTCACGGAATCACAGAACCATAAAATGGTTTGGGCTGGAAGGGACTTGTAAAAACCATCTAGTTTACACTCCCTTGCAATGGGCAGGGAAACCTTCAGCTAGATCAGGTTGCTCAGAGCCACATCTACCCTGACCTCAAACATTTCCAGGGCTGGGGCATCCACCACCTCCCTGGGCAACCTGTTTCAGTGCCTCACCACACCTACCATTAAAAACCTCCTCCTTATGTCCAATCTAACCCTACCCTCTGTCCATTCCCCCTTGTCCTGTTGCTGCAGGTCTTGTTAGAAAGTCTTTCTCCATCTTTCTTACAAGCTCCCTTTAAGCATTCAAAGGCTCCAACCAGGTGTCCCTGGAGCCTTCTCTTCTCCAGGCTGCACAACTCCAGCTCTCTCAGCCTGTCTTCATAGGAAAGGTGTTTCATTCCTCTGACCACTTCTGTGTCCCTCCTCTGGGCCTACTTCAACAGGTCCTTCTCTTTCTTGTACTGGGTATTCCAGAACTGAATGCACAGGTAGCACACAGAAAGTAAACATGATAAAAGTGCAGAAATAGGTAGTACTTGGCAAGCCAGAATTTTATCCACAAAAAATTAATTCACCAAAAATACAAAAATTAATTAATCAAAAATACTATGTCCCAAAATTCTATCCTTTCATTTTAATAGGTATGTACTCAGAAGAACAGTGTAACTTCTATATTCCAACAACAGTGATGAGAGAACCTGGAATATTACTGGGCTTTAAATCCAACCTCATGCTTGGAAATACTTGGACTGATAGATAAAAGAGCTGGAGCAAACAGAAGTATTTGCTGAACCAACACAAATGTCTGAATGGCCACATTTCAGTTTAGGAACAAATGGACTGCCAGCTCAGACCATGAGGTGTCTGGTCTGGTGTCCCTTCCCTAGGAATGGCAGCAACAGCTCTTTCTGAGAAAGACAAGACTTCAGATTTCTAAGTTAACTGGAAAAGGCAGTGGGAGTGATACCAGTTCTGGAAACTCCAAAACCAAGCAGCTGGCAATGCTTATCTCTTTTCTCCCTGGTGTTTCATACAATAGGGAAACACAGGTAACAGTTCACCTTGCAAAATAAGAAATGGGATGTTTTTAAGCCTGGAAGCACTACTGAAATCTGGCAGCACAACCCCATGACTCCTTTTGAGCTTTGGAGAGCCACGTGGTACTTGGCAAGAAAGATGTTTCCTTGTCAAAAAAACAGGCTTGTACAATAAGCATTCAGAACTGTTCTCTCTAAACTTTTGGTCCTGGCCCTACTTGATGAGGCCCAGAGGACACATTACTGAGTGGCTAAGCAGCCCAGGCTGGCTGTGGTGACAGACAGAGCTGATTCTGATGCTCCAGCTGCTGAGTGCTCCCTTCTGCTCCGCGCTGTGGCAGAGCACGTTGGATGCAGATGCTGTTCTGCACTGGGCAGCCAGCTAGTACTCTGCTCCTGACACAGCCTGGGGAACAAACACCCCTCTGAATTACTCAGCAAGGGAACCAAAGCCTCCAGCATGACCCAGACTACCAGTGACTCAGCATCCATTCTGTAGGCAGTTGGGCACTAAGACCTGATCCTGCTGTTAAAGGAAACTTGCCGATTTCCCAGTGACTAGGATAAAAGGTGTTACTACCCTCTATATGCTCCTAGACATCCATCAGCTGCTCCCTTTGACAGTTTGGGGGAACAATTTTTGTACCACTACTGAACACCATAGGGTGTTACAATTTAGCTCCAAAAGGAACTTACCTGTTAGTTTTCCTTTAATTGAATGCTAAGAAATAGTAAAACATATTAAAACTGTTAAACTAGTGAGAGACCTGGAAAGAGTATTAGTAAACATCAGCAATTTATAGTTTTCTGCATCCAATAAAAATTGAAGAAAGTTTCAATAAAAACAGGGTATAAAAATTATGTACATATTGTATGTTTCGCCTACAACTGCCATTTTGGTAAGAAATAAAATATCAAGGAGCATGTACTTTAAGAATGACTGTATTTCTGAGGCTGAAACTCATGCATTCATGAAAACAGGATAATGCTGTGGAAAGCAAACACGGGGACATCTCACCCTTTCCTGTCTGCCTCTTCTGTACAGCAGTTGCTACTCCTTAATCAAGGTATTGGCTTCAAGTTTTAGCAATGAACATTCAAAGCTTCCAAACATCTAGTTTGGTTATTCAGTTAGAAGTCAGTTAGGAGTACAATTTTGAGTGTGTCAGTAACTGGTGGTAAAGGATCTGATTGCAAAAACCTTTTCAAGAGAAACTGTGTATCCCTACATGTGCAAGTTTGCTAATGAATACAACAGCAGTGTACTCCAGGCTTAGAAAATCCTGATTCGCGCTCACAGAAGTTTAAAACCTTCTCCAATAATTACAAGTCATCACTTACCTTGCTCTTTTTATGAACCTACTCATCTCATTTTAGGCTGCTGGAATCAACTTGCCCTAGTTTGGTGAAAGACTATTAAATTCCTGGGTTAGCAATGGCAACATTGTAAGCACAAGGACCAAACAAGGCGAACTTAATTTACATCTACTTGCATCTCACCCTTCTCGAGCTCCTGAAACAGCAGCCTTACCTTCTCCACGTCCTCTGTATAACTGTAGCAGCATAGTTCTTCTTCCGAAACAGCTCTTTTCGTTTTCTTTCTTTTTCTATGATCTGCAGTCGAATCTCCAAAGGGATTAGTTCAATATTTGTACTTTGCCACCCAACAGAACATAACTGATCATCTGCATTTCTGGATCCAATTACGCCTGTTTTTTCCAAGTTCAAACTGTCACCAGGAGCAGAACATGCTACTGGGTTTCTTGGCACAGTTCCGGCAGGTTCTGCCTCAGCAGATAATAAAGAGACCTTTTTGGCTAATTCCTTATTTCCCAGTTTGTCAGTTTGTTCTACAGCATGCATGCTGTCATTTCTGGTGCTCACAAACACTGTTTTGGCACTTCCTGGTCTGCTAGAACCAGCTGGTGAACATCGCTTATCATTTACCTCTTTAGCTCTGGATTTCTGCTGATGCCTTTTGCCTTTGGAAGAAGCTTCACACTGCTTGGAGTTTCTCGTGGTTCCACCAGTACAACTGAGATTGCAGAACACAGCTGCTCCTTCACAATGGTCCCTCTTGACAGATGAAGGCTGACTTGAGTCCCTTATTTTTTCCCCAACACTAGCAGTCCTACAAGCAGAACTAGTAAGCCTCCTGCTCCTCCAAGCACAAGTACCCGTTGCCTCGACAGTGTGTTCCTTGTGCTTTTCTCCATCCAGTTCTGTAGCAGTTGCAACCTGATGTTTCACTGCAACTTTTGTTCCCTCTTTTGCTTTGCCACGATGGAAATGGACACAACTTGACTTGCTTCTGACGTGTTTTCTCAATGAATCTTTTGACAGAGAAATGGAAATCAACATTCAGTCTCTGATCCAGCAAAAACATAGATCTATGTCTAATTTTATTTTGCTCAGTTACCTTTGAGGCACACTAGGATTTAATTAAACGGAAAAAAAAGTGTCAGCAGGA